GGAGGGTTGAGAGGGGAGAAAAGCGCAACAATGAATGAATGGAAGTCCAAAGTCTCTGCAAATTTTCATTGAAATTAATAAAAAAAATTTTAAAAACAAAAAAATGCCTATTCATTTAGAATTTCCATAGAAGCTAGTATTTGATATGTTCTTAAATAATTTTGAAAGAATGAAGAAGTTATGGAGATTAGTTGTTTTCCATTTCTCATCTTCAGTTTACATTTTCTACTTCTATGTTTCTCTGCTGGGCAGTGAGTTAAGTGTTAGGCCGGCAGTGGAAGGGTCAGTGGTTTGAATCCATCAGCAGCTCTGAGGGAGAAAGATGAGACAGTTATGTTCTGTCCTGTAGGTTCCTATGGAATAGACTGAATGGCAGTGAGTTTCAGTTCTTTATGACATATATGAGCTAAATATTATGCCAGAAACCTTTTTAGCATCAATACATTGTATAGTTGTATTGTAATATTCTCTCATTCCTGTTTTAAAAATAACAAAACATAACCTTTCTTGCAGGATCGTCTGTTCTTACCTAGACTCTCTCAGGTAGTAACCATTATAAAGAGGTGGTGTGGAAAAATACTGTTGAAAAATGTTCCTATCTTTGAAGGATGGTGTATCTGGTTGCAGAGACAGAATACATTAGACATACTCAAAGTATGTGATGTTAGGTTCCATTGAGTCAGCTACAACTCCTAGTAACCCTATGAGATCAAAGCCTTGCCCTATCTTGCAGTTCTCATGATCTCCACCATGTTCAAGGCATTGTTACTATAAATGATAACAAATTTTAAATGTGAAAATTAGTGCAAGACTCTAAAAGTCTCCTTTGAGCCTTTGCTAGCAGGGTGAATTAATTACAGAAAAATTCTTGAAGCAGCTGAAATTTAAACAAAATAAGGCAAATACTTTTCACATAAACGTAAGTCTAATTCACAGCATTGGTAACAACAGAACTAAGTGAGATGAGAAGGGCTAGAAGGGGAAGTAGGAAGTAGCTAAGTTTCATTTTAATAAGCTTGAAAACTAACATCTAACGCTTCAAACTTACAGTCATGATTTTGGTGTAAAACTTCATTTAAAGCATAACACTGAGAAAATAAATCCAAAAATGATTAATTGACTGAATGACACAATCCAGGAAATGTTTTCACATACTAGAAGGAACTTGCAAAATCATCACAGTCACTTCTCAGTCTCTTCAGAAGGAATGGTTCCAGGACCCTCTGGGATACCAAATATACGCATGCTCAAATATCCTGATATAAAAACACATAATACTTGCATGTAACTTTATGAACATACTCAAGTATGCTTTACATACTCTCTGGACCACTTATAATAATACTCTGGTACTGTAGTTTATAGGCAGTTATGCTACTAAGCCAAAGGTGGTGCCTCTCTGATGGTTCATATCTACCAGCGACTCCACAGAAGAAAGATTGGCAATCTCTTCCTGTGCTATTTACAGCATCCAAAAACCTGCTGAAGGGTCAGCTATGAGTCAGTCCCCATGCTATGAATAAATAAGAATACAATGGAAATGCAGTGGGAATAGCACTTCAAAAAATTGCTTTTTTTCCTCCCCCACCATGAATATTTTCTATATAAGTTTGGCTGAATCTGTGGTTGAGCTACCCATAGACAAGGAGGGCCACCTATATAATTCTACCTTGTGTTCATACAAAATAGAATTGTCATCACAATATTTATTATTATATGCTACACACTACTCCAAGTAACCAATATGTATTCCAGCTATTTCTCACAACTACCTTATAACATAAATCTTGACATTATTAAATGTCCTCCAATTGTTCTGACTTACAGAGACTATATTGTAAAAGTTGTGCAGCTAATGTGGGAAAAGCAATAACTTACCTCACTAACTCCATAATGGGGAAGATTCTCCATTAACATTAACAAAAAACCACTTTTTATACAACCCAAGTGTCTTCTACTTCACACCTTCTTCTTATCAGTTGTAACACCAACTGTGTATCCATGACTCTCATTACTACTAGATTCACTAATTCATTGCATTGACCACACAGAAGTCAGAAACAGTGCTCACAATTATAGGGTTCATTAGGGAAGTAACAGGTTAGAATTTGTACCAGATGTTCTCGGCATACAATTATTCAGTCGGATCACCTTCTCAGTCACACTCACAGGCAGACCTCCCTCTGACTTTCAGCCTCATGCTCTGGCACCTGCCTCACAGCTTTGGGCCAGTGTTACAAAGCTCTTTTGGTTCTGCATATATGTGTGCCTTCCTTCTCCGACTCTACGTCTAAGTCTAGGCTAACATGTCTGACTCTGTGCTGGGCTCTGTGTGATGACACTTTTATTCAGCTCTCACACCAGTTCTCCTCTAACTCTGCTGCTGCTGGTACCACAGCTGCATCTCAGTCTCAGTCTCACTGAGAAACTTTGGCTTAAAGGACACATTGCACTCTCTGCTTCTTCTTTCTTGATAGTAGCAAGATTTCCATTTTCTATTTCTGAACCTGATCAATTTAAGGCTGATGGGATGACAAAATAGACCAATCTCCTCATTAGTCAAGAAACCCTATCTGCATGTTCCTAACTGCTCAATATCAGCTGTGAAAACTAGGCAAGGAGCTGACTGTGGAACAGACCACCAACTCCTCATATGTAAGTTCAAGCTGAAGCTGAAGAAAATTAAACCAAATCCACAGGAATCAAAATATGACTTTGATTTCATCCCACCTGAATTTCAGGTTCATCTCATGAACAGGTTTGAGGCCTTGAACACTAATGAGCGAAGACCAGATGAGTTGTGAGAGGATGTCAAATGTATCATCCAAGGAAGAGTGCAAACGGTCATCACAAAGACCGAAGAGGAAGAAAAGACCAAAATGGATGTCAGAAGAAACTCTGGAGATTGCACTGCAGCGTAGAGAAGCCAAAGCACAAGGAAGAATTCAAGATACTAAAGAGCTGAAGATTCCAAAAGGCAGCACGGAATGACAAAGCAAAATATTACAATGAAATGTGCGAGGAGCTAGAGTTGGAAAATCAAAAGAGCCGAATTCGTTCAGCATTTCTTTTTTTGTTCGTTTTGTTTTGTGTTTTATTTTTATTGGGGAAAAACATATTGGGGGTACAAGGAGGTGAGGGTTGGGGGCAGAAGGGTGAGGATGGGCCAGGATGCAGTTGCAGAGCTGCACAGTTTGGTTGGTGGGGAGAGCAGGTGAAGGAAATAATGAGGGTCCAGTGGGGACCAGATGCTACAGAGAAATGACAAGCATTTTCCAATGGTAATTAAACCAACTGTCTACTGATTTGGGAATTGGATGCCGACTCTCTGGCTTCTTCATGCTGAACAGGGGCATAGATGTAAAGGGGGGAAGGGAGGACGCTTTATCACCTTACTGGTGGTCTTGGGTTAAAGCTGCTTGCCTTCTTGCTCTGTTAGAAGATATTCTCCTGTCATTTGCTCCCCTCTGGACTGCAAAGTGTTTTCCCAGGTGGGTCCAGTGAGGATGGTTGGTTGAACCCAGAGGCTCCATCCTCCTTTGCTTCCTTAGCTGTCAGTCGTATTTCCTTTTTGTCACTGGCACTGGGTTCAGGGTCAATTCT